GGACGTTGACTTTGGTTGAGAATATCGAACCACTCTAAATTGTTGTACAAATATTTTCAATTTTCTGCAAAAGCTTCCACCAAAATTTTAATTGCCAATTCACCCCCTCTTAGCCAATTCGTTGATCGATTAACTCAATAATTGGTATCAGAGCTACATACATTTGAAGGTTTAACCACCTCTTGAGTCGATTTGGGAAGAGTTATATCGATATTCAAGTCATCAATGAGCTCCACTTCTAACGTCGACTTCGGTCTTGATTAAATGCTCGTCAACAAGCCTCATTTCTTCAATGGAGCTAATTATACTTACTGGAAGAATAGAAATATGTACTTCATTCAAGCAAGTGACATAGGAGCATGAAATATCAAAGAAGACGGTGATCATCGAGGCTAAAAACTTAAAATCCTTGACCCTCTAAGAGCTTATTGGTTATCTCCTCACGCATGAAATAATGCTTCAAGATGAGGTAGACCTCAAAAAAAAGGACGAGCCAAAGAAGAAGACGGAGAAGAAGAAAAACACTGGAGTTGCTCTCAAATCCACAAAAGTTGAGAGCGATTCTGATGATGACGACGATGATGAAGAAATGACATTATTTGTCAAACGAATCAAAAAATTAATGAAGCCCAATAGAGGAAGAAAATTCAAAAGAAATGAAGGCTTCAAAAATGAACCAATGGAGAATGACCCAATTATTTGCTATGAATGCAAAAAGCCCGGGCATGTCAAATACGATTACTCGTAATTAACGAAAAATGGTCAATCCAAGAAGAAGTACAAGGCAAACGTGGCTACTTGGAGTGATGATGACGAGTCATCAAATGAAGAGGAACAAGAAGTAATGAACCTGTGCTTGATGGCCACCAAGGAAGATTCTCAGGTAATCTCTAACTCATTTGAAGAACGAAAATGATCTCATATCCAAGAACAACAATGATCTTGAAAGTAAAATTAAAGAATTGCAAATCAAAATCGAAGATTTTGAAAAGAAAAATACTGATTTGCATAACTTACTTTCAAGAGTTCATGACGATTATCAAAAAAGAAATTGTTGATCTTTAAGCTTCTTTCAATAAAGTTGGTATAAAACATTTTGAAAATAGAGAAAGTTCAAAATCCAACTTTGTTAGAAAAAGTTTTAAAAACTACAATCATAGAGGTCCCCAAAGAACATCTCATGGTAAAATCGTTAGAAGTATATGGGTTCCTAAAGAACTCATTACTACTAAAGATAAGGATATCCTACACAAATGAATACCCAAGGGGACTAGAATTTTAGAAACTAATGAATATGGACCTAAAAGAAATTGGGTACCAAAAATTAAAAATTAATCTATGTTTGTAGGAAAAGGAGCATGACTACAAGGCGTAAACTACAAGTTCAAATTCATGGTTCCTTGATAGTGGATGCTCAAGACATATGACTGGAGACAAGAGCTGATTTATTGAGCTTAACGACAAAAATGGAGGAGTGGTAACCTTTGGTGACAACTCAAAAGGTTACATTGAAGGTATATGTACTATAGGTAATACCTCTTCCATACAAATAGAAAAAGTATTACATGTGAATGGGTTAAAGCATAATTTATTGAGTATTAGTCAATTATGCAATAAAGGATACAATGTCTTATTTGAAACAAATGGTTGTAAAATTGTTGACATTGCATCTAATCAGATTATGCTTGTTGGTCATAGAATAGGAAACATTTACATGGTGCATCTAGATTCAATAAATATGACTAATTTGTGCCTAGTTGCTAAGGATGAATATGATAGTTGGTTATAGCATAGGAGATTAGGACATACTAGTTTGAGTGTTTTACAAAGACTAATTCAAGGAGATTTAGTAAGAGGGTTGCCAAAGCTAAAATTTGATAAAGATAAAATCTGTGATGATTGTGCTAAAGAAAAACATCAAAGAGCTTCCTTTAAGTCCATTAATGATGTATCAACTAGTAGAGTATTACAATTGATTCATATAGATCTTTTTGGTCCAATTAGAACTGTTAGCTTGGGTGGAAAACAATATTTCTTTGTATTGGTAGATGACTATTCTATATATACTTGGGTTCTATTTTTAAGTACCAAAGATGAAGCATTAGAAAAATTCATCACATTTTCAAAAGTAATCCAAAACGAAAAAGGTTACTCCATAACTAGTATTATGTGTGATCATGGTACTAAATTTTAAAATATTGGATTTACTGATTTTTATAATTCTAATGGTATTAGCCATAATTTTTCAGCTCCGAGAACCCCTTAACAAAATGAAGTTGTTGAGAGGAAAAATAGAACTTTAGAAGAAATGGTTAGAACCATGCTTTGTGAAAATAATTTGCCAAAATATTTTTGGGCTAAAGCCACAAATACCACTTGTTATGTTATAAACCGAGTAATGATTAGGCCAGTTTTAAAGAAAAATCCATATTAATTTTTCAAAAATAAAAAGCCTAATATTAGTTATTTTTATTCTTTTGGATGTAAATGTTTTGTTTTAAACATCTGTAAAGAAAATCTTGGCAAATTTGATGCTAAAAGTGAAGAAGGAATTTTTCTGGATTATTCCTTAAATTCTAAAGCTTATCGAGTATTTAATAAAAGAACTTTAGTGGTAGAAGGGTCTATACATGTTGTTTTCGATGATAATCCCCTTCCGAGGAAGGATTCTTGTGTTGATGATGACATAGGTATTGTAAAAGCAAATGATGTTAGACATGATGTTGAAGAACCATCATCAAAGGAAGAAACGAAAGATGAGGAAACTCACGATGTTATCGAGAATCCAACCATTGAAGAAATGGAAGTCTCATACCCAAGAGAATACAACTATGTTAAGGATGGTGAGATAATAGGTGATCCATCCAAAAGGGTAACAACTCAATCTTCTCTTAAAAATATATGTAATCATGTTGCATTTATCTCATGTATAGAGCCTAAGAATATTAAATAAGCATTAAATGATGAACATTGGATTATGGCTATACAAGAAGAGTTAAATCAATTTGAGAGAAGTAAAGTATGGACATTAGTTGAAAGGCCTAGTAATAAATCTATTGTAGGTACTAGATGGGTATTTAGGAATAAGCTTGATGAAAGTGGTAATATAGTGAGTAACAAGGATAGACTTGTTGCTCAAGGCTATACTCAAGAAGAGGGCATAGACTATGATGAAACATACACTCCCGTAGCTAGGATGGAAACAATTAGAATGTTATTACCATTTACATGTTTCAATGAATTTAAATTATATCAAATGGATGTTAAAAGTGCATTTTTAAATGGTTTTATAAAAGAAGAAGTATATGTGGAACAACCTCCTAGTTTTAAAGATTCAAAATTTCCAAATCATGTTTTTAAATTGAGAAAAGCGCTTTATGATTTAAAAAAAGCTCTTAAAGCTTGGTATGAAAGATTGTCAAATTTGTTAATAGAAAGAGGTTTTTCAAAAGGGAAGGTTGACACTACATTATTTTTAAAGCATAAAGGTAAAGATTTATTAGTAGTTCAAATTTATGTTGATGATATAATATTTGGTTCTACTAATGATGTTCTTTGCCAAGAATTTTCTAAGCTAATGCATAGTGAACTCGAGATGAGCATGGTGGGAGAGCTCTCATTTTTCTTGAGAATCCAAATCAAGCAAATAAAAGATGGCATCTTCATAAATCAAGCAAAACACGCCAAGGATATGCTCAGAAAGTTTGGATTGAAAGATGGAAAAAGCCCAACCACTCCAATGAGCTCATCTACAAAGCTTGACAAAGATGAAGGAGGTAAATGTGTGGATATTAAATTGTATAGGTCAATGATTGGCTCTTTGCTTTATCTAACCCCAAGTAGATCGGACATTATGTTTAGTGTTTGCTTATATGCTAAATTTCAATCTTGTCCTAAGGAATCATATTTAAAAGCCATTAAGAGGATCTTTAGATACCTTAAGGACACTCCTAGTTTAGGACTTTGGTATCCTAGAGACTCTAGCTTTAGCTTGCATGCCTTCTCTGAGGCGGATTACGGAGGATGCAAAATAGATAGGAAAAGTACCTATGGTACTTGTTAATTCCTAGGAAATATGCTGATTTCATGGTTTTCAAAGAAACAAAATTGTGTTGCATTATCTACCATTAAAGCGGAATATATTTCAGCCGGTAGTTGTTGTGCGCAAGTTTTATGGATGAAACAACACCTTTTAGATTATGGAATTGAAGTTAGTACCATACCTATCAAGTGTGACAATACTAGTGCTATTTTTCTCGCAAAAATCTCATCCAACACTCTAGAACTAAGCACATTGACATTAGACACCATTTCATTAGATATCATGTCACTAAAGGAGATATAGGTCTAGAATATGTTGATACTTTGAATCAATTAGCGTATATTTTTACAAAACCTTTAGATAAATAGAGATTTTGGACACTTAGGAGAGAATTAGGTTTAATTAACCTACCTTGACTTAGTGTTTAAAATTATTTTTTAGCTATTTTAATTAATTTTCTTTTGAAAAATGCTTATAAAAATAATACTTTTGATTGCATTCTTTGCTATTAGTTAGGGGGAGTTTATGATTCGTTAGTGAAAATTAATTATATGTTCAAATAAAATTTAATGATAGATTTGATTGATTGAACATTATTAGTTTTCGATATATGAGTTGCCAATACCACTAGAGCTAATTAATTTAGCATTTTGAGTGTTTAAAAATGGAATTTAAAATTTTTTTGCTAAGCGCATCGATACACTATGAAAGTGTACCGATGCATTCCCTGAATATGCATCGATACACTATGAAGGTGCACCGATGCATTCCTTGAATGTGCATCGATATACTATACAGTGTACCGATACACTCGTTGGGTTTTAGGTTTATAATCCCTAAGTTTGTTTTGGATAAATCAAATTTTATTTTCCAAAAGAGCAGAGTTCTGCTACAAAAACAATCAACCAATCTTAACAAAAGAATAATAAACAACCTACTTACAAAAGACAAAGATTGGTTAAGCTAAACCCCAAGCAATACAAAGATTATAATTTGTTTTATCAGCTCTATTAATATTTCTACCCTTTAGTTGAATTCGTACAACTTCAATAATGACCTTAAGCAAGTCCTCGGTTGATCTGTGTCGATCTTTGAAAATTCTGTAATTCCTTTCCTCCCATAATATGTAGACATAGATAGTCCAAGCGACCTTCAAGATTATTGTGAGCAAGGATTTCCCTTTCCATGTTGAAGATGCCCGAGTAACCATATAATCCCATGATGAGGTTGCATTCTTCAAGCCATTAAGCGACAATATGGATTTCCACAGGCGGATAACAAGAGTACAACGGCAGAAGAGATGGTTTCTTGTCTCCATATCATTGTTGCAGTTTACACAGGTCCCTTCCGTGGTAATTCCCATTTTGAGTAGTCGATCTCTTATTGGTAATCTGTTCAACAAAGTCATTCAAGTAATCAAACTAAATTTTGGAATGTGCAATGAAAACCAGATAAGATTATGCCAGAGTACTTTCTCCATTTTGCTTCAAATTGAATCCCAAATGTCTCTAAGATTAAGAGAACCAGAAGTACAAAATATGGAGAGTGCACTAGAACATAATTTTAACATTCTATTAACACTCTAGTTCACGATAGAACCTGTAACATAATTCTAAAACTCTTGGTATTTGAAAACATAAGAATTCAACCATGCAACCCAAAGAGAACCATCCCCCGCTAAGATTTTTCTAATGAGATCAATAGTACTCGCATTATTCTAGGTTTTAGTGTTCTTAAGACCAAGACCACCTTCGGTTTTTGAAAAACAGATAAAATCCCAGCTTACTGATAACTCCAAAAAAAGACTTAAATTCTAGTATTTTCACTTAAGTTATTGCTCGCCTAAACAAAGTGTGCACTACATTTTTAATTGCATTTAGTTACATATAGGTTGTGGTGGATAAGTTTTGCGTTGGCAAGATTTATTTGGCTTAACTGATGTTGTTGAGGAGAAGGGGTTGTTTGAGTTGTGGTTGTGTAGGAATTCTACAGAGGAAGAACATTTCAGTCATGACAATGAAAAGTTGCAAAGGCCAATGGAGCAGATGAGAACATGAGGAGCAAATTTATCTCGCCGATGCAAGATTTATCTGAAGAAGTCTGAAGCAGGTGTGGCAAAACTGCCTATGTCACATACCAGCTGGATGACCTACTTCATGTGCAATCAAGCCTTGATTGTTCTTACAGCCGCCAGCTGCCTTTTCTTTTTAAGTTTGGGAAATTAATAACTGCTAATTAAGGAAACTCCAAAAGCATGCAAAGCCCTAGGAGATGTTGGGACCGTCGGTGCACCCCATGGCGCAGCAGAAACAAAACTCGATGGTCTCACCAGCGATCCAAGTACGAAAAATGAAATCGGGAGGAAGGGATGCGAATACTTACAGTGGGCTTCTTGAAAAATAGTAAGGACAACAGTGAATACTGGTGGTGTAGATCGGTTTGAATCGTAAGCCTCCACGAAATCACGTCTCAGCCTCTACTCAGTTCACCCAATTGAGAGTAATATTTTTTCTTCCCCAAAACAGTTTTGAGAGAAAAACGGCTGAAGGTTTTGTGTGTGTGTTCTAAAACGGTTACTAGACCTAACACACCCTTTTATAGCCAAGTTACCCTAATCATATTAGTGTTTTATTATTTTAAATTAATTAAATCTATATTTAATTAATTGGAATTTAATAATTCTTTTATATCCAAGTTACCCTAATCATATTAGGGATTTTATTATTTCAAATTAATTAAATATATATTTCATTAATTAAAATTAAATATTCGGGATTATTAAAACATATATTTAATTAACTCTAGATATATATTTTAGTAACGCACAACAAATTGTACATCTTTGCTCGTTTCAATACTAGGGTGTGACCTTGTAGGTTCTTGTAACGTTAGCAGTAATTATTAGAACAATTCTAATATTACATACAATGAGTGACATATAGCAAAATATTATTGTCACCTAAGTTACAAGAAAATATGATTCGACATATCATCTTGGTGATTAAGTCTTTTATGTATTACATCCTTATGTCCTTTATATCTAGAATAGGCACAAGTCTTGGAATAGTCACACTTGTATAGCCCATCTATTGTTTCTTGATATCTAGAGTAGACTGTAATTAATGAATAGTTTATGATATCTCATATCAACTTACTCGAGCATGGCCATGCGTTTATAGTCTTACTCAATCAAGTGGCTTGTGATATATTTCCTATTATGTAAGAAGGACAAATCCTATCTTAATCATACACACCCACTACATATATTGAGATATATTAAATAACAGTCTTTATAGAGCAACCAATTATGGAGCTTTTTAGTTGCATCAAAACATACAACAATATATGTTGGGATAATATTGATATCAAGTCTGAGGATCATACATATAGTCATCACCATGAGCAATGTTATGAATGTCACATAATAATCCAAGACATATGCTCATGGTCGGTCAATCCAATACATTGTTCTCTAACAATATAATCATGTATCAATTCTGACATCTCTATGTCAATGACAACTCGTTGTCATCAATCAATAATATGTTAGTCTTAAGCGTATTATTATTGTCCATGCCCATAATAATACTTGACTAGGGATCTTTTAATAATAACAAATATGTTATTATATGGACTTTATTATCTTTCAGTTTATGTTAAACACATATATATAAATGAAAATAATAGCGGCAATGCCTTTATTCAATAAAATTGGTACATAAAAGTATTATTACAATCATCATATGATTGGTCTTTGGGTATACTCTAACAGGAGATTCTCCTTATAATTACTAGCCGTAGCCGCAAAGAAAGAGAGGCAAGAAAGAAGAAAGAAGAGCTTTACCTTAGGCGTGAGCAAGCAACTACAATGCTTTCCCTCCGTCTACCCCCCAGTTTTCCTTGGTGTCCTCCATAGCCAGACGATAGTAGAGCGGTGATCAGGCCTCGAGAGAGGGTGATCACCAAGGCAGGCGTGGTGTTGATCAGGATTGTCGTGATAGAGCCCCTGATTTTGGGAGTCGTTCTTCCTTTGTTCTTAAACTCTTACTTTATTTGGGGTTGTATTAAGCGGTTTAATCTTGGATGATCTTTGATAACACCATGAATGCTTTACTTGGTGTTAAACTTTGTTTTTCCTGAACAATATTTTATGTTTATGAATGATGAATTATGTTTGCTTATAACTGTTTTGCTCATAGTTTAAATATTTTGCCTTAACACTGTAAGAGTATCGAGAGATCGCCTGGGGTTTCGGTAAAACATGTCTAGGCATTGTAAGAGAATCAAGAGATAGCCTTTTGTCTAGAAAGTGATTCTTGAATTCGATAGAATTAAGAGAGATCAACGTGAGAAAAGGAATGAATCTGGGATGGTGAAGTTCTAACTTGTCTACCTCAGAGATAATGAGTGAATTTCAAACGACTAAAAGAGATAAAAGCTAGAGTAGGTTAAGACAATATCTATAGTTAAAGCCGAGAGGTATTGCCATAGCAACCGTCTAAGAATACCTAGTAATCCTGCCGGGCAGTTTAGTGTGTCATAATAATTTATTCTAGGCTTAGAATAATTGTTGCCGAGACAATGGTTTACCATCAATGCTCTGTGATACATCTGAATATGTGAGGTTGTTTGCATTATATTTAATCCAATACTTGTTTTGTTTTATCTATCTGCATATTTTCTTTGTCTCAAGCACACTTGTCTGAAATCATTGAATCATTATTCTTAGCTCCTTAATAGTAGTTCTTAGCTTTAATACTTAGTAAGATTAATTTGTGGCATTAATTCTAGTTGTGGTGAAAAGATATTTCTAATCTAATCCCTGTGGAGATGATACTCACTCACTACTATATTACCTGCATCGATTGTGTATACTTGCACAAATTAGCTTGCCTTAGCATATACATTCACAAGCGATCAAGTTTTTGGCGCCATTGCCGGGGATTAGCAACTGACAAAATTTCCAGCCATAACAAGTTATTTGTGTCACTTTATAATTATTTAGTCTAACGTAGTTTATTATTTTCTTTTATAGGTTTTTATTATTGCATGACCTTGAGATCCGCTGGTAAGCCTTTGGAACCATTCGACCCTGAAGTTGAACAATCATTCAGAGAAAGGTTACGTGCCCAAAGAACCAGAGAACAATTAAATCAAATGCAAAATGGCATGGGAGATTTAGGAGATCAAGTTGCAAGACCAAGAGTGATACGAGATCATTTGAACCCAATTCTCGATGACCTCAACCCTGGCATAGTGGCACCTGAAATTCAAGCCACTCATTTTGAAGTCAAATCGGTGATGTTTAATATGCTGAACTCTATCAGCCAATTTGGTGGTACTCCCAATGAAGATGCTAGACATCATGTGCGTGCTTTCCTTAAAGTATGAGATTCATTTAGATAACAAGGAGTACATGAAGATGTGCTCAAACTGAAGCTTTTTCTTACTCCTTTTGTGATAGAGCAAGAGCTTGGCTCAGCGGAGTTCATTCCAGATCAATGGAGTCATGGGAAGATTTATGCAAGAGTTTCCTACTTCGATATAATCCGCCCAATATGAATACACAACTTCGGAACGACATTGCGAGTTTTCGTCAAGGCGATGATGAATCAATGTACGAATGTTGGGATAGGTATAAAAGTTTACTTCGCAAATGTGTTAATCATGGATTTCATGATTGGACGTAAGTGGTGATGTTTTACAATGGAGTCAACGCACCAAATCGAATGATGTTAGATGTCTTAGCAAATGGCACTCTACTAGACAAATCACCCGAGGAAGCTTTTGACATCCTCGACAGGATAGAAAATAATGACTATCAATATCCAAGTGCAAGATTGGGAACCAATAGATAAACCTCTGGAGCATATGAATTAGAAAGAAAAGATTTGATAGCAGCCCAACTTTCTACCATAACCAATATGTTGAAAAATTTGCAACGTTCTAATAAGGTAATAGAAGTCAAGGCGACCAATAATGTGTGCCTATTCTGTCAAGGCAACCATCATGAGAGTGAATGTCCTGAAAACCATGAGTCAACTAATTTTGTAGGCAACTACAATCGAAATAATGATAATCCCTATTCGAACACGTACAACCCTGGTTGGAGATAACACCAAAAATTTTCGTGGAATAATCAAGGGAACAACAACAATCAAGCCACAAATTACAAGCCACAGTAAAATAATTTTGACCATCATCATATTCAGAATCAGCATCAGCAGCCCTGGCATAACAACAAAGGTATAGCTTCTTCCTCTAACACTCATTCCAATACTAACTCCTTGGAATTATCCTTACAGGAATTCATGGCCTCGACAAAAAATTTCATGGCGTCTATAAAAACCTTGATGCACGAAC